GGTCCTGCCGGTGTAGTGAGGCGGTGCGGCCTCCCTCCGACTCAGAGGGGGAGGGACGATCACCACACGACTACACCCCCCTGACCCGTCTCTTTGCCAAGCTGTACGGCCCTGATCTTTTTAGTCTTGCCTCATATGGGAGCTGATCCGTACCCTAAGATTAGGCTCAGGAAGACCCCAGTGGGGAAAGCAGGTACCACAGCCCGGGGGGTTACACAGCCCAGGAGAACGTCAGTTCAACCTCCAACGGGGACTGGGAGCCAGGACTCCTGGGGTCTCTCCCCGGCTCTGGGAGGGCAGAGGGGGCTCGTGGTTAGAGCAGGGGGGCTGGGAGCCAGGACTCCTGGGGTCTCTCCCCAGCTCTGGGAGGGCAGTGGGGGCTCGTGGTTAGAGCAGGGGGGCTGGGAGCCAGGACTCCTGGGTTCTCTCCCCAGCTCTGGGAGGGGAGTGGGGTGTATTGGGTTAGGGGAGAGGAGGTTGGGAGTCAGGACTCCTGGGTTCTGTACAGAAAGATCTGGGGGTCTGGTAGCTGTCACCCCTCCCCTCCCCGCAGCACGGTGCCCACAGCCCGGCTGCTGCATCCGACCACAGTGAGGCCCAGCCCAGGGTGCGAGCCAGCTCTCACTTCCATTTCCCCAACAGCACCGCAGGTGGCAGCGTTTTGAAAGTGAAGTGGAGTGGGTGGGGGGCTGCGGCTACACTTCAAAGGGGAATCGGGGCTGTTGGGTTCTCTCCCTGGTGCGGGGAGGGGAGTGTGGGCCAATGGCTGTGACGGGGGACCCCGTGGAGCAGCACGGTGCCCACCGACCTCGCCCAGACGCCACTCAGGAAGCCCTCACGTCTACTTCCCTGTCTGCACGATCCAGGGCTTTGGGCATCAGCTAACAACTGTTGACCCACGGCGGGAAAACGCCTATCCTGGGAACAGGGCTGGACAGACGTCAGCGGCTCCGAGAACACCAACACCGGTGCCTCCAAATGAACCCTGTAGAGCAGCAAGATCAGGGGTTTTGCTGAGGCAGTTCCCATTTTCCTGCCTGAGTGGCTACTTAAAGTTCAGCCGCGGTTAATGTTGGACCGGATGGAATTGCAAAGCCCCCTGCTCCCGTACTGGAGAGGTGACTTTCCCTTGCTCCAATGGATGTTCTTGGATGTCTTTGGCCATGACCCGGCAGGTCAGCTCTCTGCCCCACCCTTAGCAGGGAACCCGGGGCAGAGCAGAGCGTGGCGGGGATGAGCTCCCAGCCCAATGAGGAGTGAATCGCAAGCTAAGCTGTATGGGGGTGTGAACCTGACCTGGAGTTTTTGGAGTAGGGCCAGAGGCATTTTTGGTGAGCGTTGTTAGAGGAAGCATTTTTTGGCGGGCGGGGGAGGTAGAACAGACACAGGGCCACTCGGAGGCAGGGATAAAGCCAACTCAGCAGCCTGCCAGCATGAGACGGTCTCTTCCACCGTTGGGACAGAGGTGTAAAACTTCCCCTCTGCTTTGGAGACCAGTTCATCTGGTGATGGTTCCGACCTAGCTGAATCTGCTTCCACCTCTTCCTGGTTTGCCTGCCGTCCTGCCGGATCGTGGGTGTCCTTGAATGGAGTTGCTCAGGGATCAGTGAGCGACGTGTCCCCAGAAAGCTGTTATTCTCTTACCAAGAGTCTCAACTGATTGTGCTGGTGTAGAATTCATCCTCCTCATCACCCCATCGGTCGTAGTTTTGGTTATCCAGCTAATTTTTATCCTTCTTCTGTAATGCCGAAACTCAAACTCTGGTGACATCTCTTAGTGTTCTTTCTAAGGACGTCTGGACAGGAGAGCTGACCACATGCAGCACTGCAGCGCAGATGTGGCCCTTTTAACTTTAGATGACACAGAAGTCGTGGGAAGTTGTTGGATGCAGTTTTTGCAAGCTGTGTCCTTCTCCTGGTTTCTTCCTCACCTCTTCAGTCGGATGTTATTAGACTCCCTAAATAGGGGAAACTATTCATTTGTTTCACCACTTGAGCATCAAGATACAGTGTTGCCTTCCATGTGCATTTTACGTATTTCCATACTTTTTGTCTTCCTATCATAGAATCATAGAAGATTAGCGTTGGAAGAGACCTCCGGAGATCATCTAGTCCAACCCCCTCCTCAAAGCAGGACCAACCCCAATTAAATCATCCCAGCCAGGGCTTTGTCAAGCCTGACCTTAAAAACCTCTAAGGAAGGAGATTCCATCACCTCCCTAGGTAACCCATTCCAGTGCTTCACCACCCTCCTAGTGAAATAGTGTTTCCTAATATCCAACCTAAACTTCCCCCACTGCAACTTGAGACCATTGCTCCTTGGTCTGTCATCTGCTACCACTGAGAACAGTCTAGATCCAGCATCTTTGGAACCCCCCTTCAGGTAGTTGAAGGCTGCTATCAAATCCCCTCATTCTTCTCTTCTGAAGACGAAACAAGCCCCAGCCCCAGCCCCCTAATCATTTTCGTTGCCCTCTGCTGGACTCTCTCCAATTTGTCCACATCCCTTCTGTAGTGGGGGGACCAAAACTGGACACAGTACTCCAGGTGTGGCCTCACCAGTGCCGAATAGAGGGGAGTAATCACTTCCCTCGATCTGCTGGCAATGCTCCTACTAATGCAGCCCAATATGCCATTTGCCTTCTTGGCAACGAGGGCACACTGCTGACTCATATCCAGCTTCTCGTCCACTGTAATCCCCAGGTCCTTTTTTACAGAACTGCCACTTAGCCAGTCGGTCCCCAGCCTGTAGCGGTGCATGGGATTCTTTCGTCCTAAGTGCAGAATGCTGCACTTGTCCTTGTTGAACCTCATCAGATTTCTTTTGGCCCAATCCTCCAATTTGTCTAGGTCACTCTGGACCCTATCCCTACTCTCCAGCGTATCTACCTCTCCACCCAG